ACAAGGCAGATACGTTTCCCAGACATCCAATTCGCTGTGGCTATCGGATAAGCCCCGCGTTCGGTGTACCAACAGGAACGCTCGTCCGGTGTCGAAAAATGATCAGTTGGGAGGCCCGAACTCTCTCTCTTTCTATGTTTCTCTCTCTCTTTTCTCTCTCAAGCTCTTTGTATGTCTTTCTCTCTCTTTCTCTCTCAAGCTCTTTGTATGTCTTTCTCTCTCTTTTTTTTTCTCTCTCAAGCTCTTTGTAACTTTCTCTCTCTTTCTGCTCTTTCTGTGTGTGTGTCTCTCTCAAGCTTTTTCCATGTCTCCTCTCTCTCTCTTTCTATGTCTCTCTCCCAAGCTCTTTCTATGTCTCTTTCTCTCTCTCTCTCTTTTTATCCCTCTCTCAAGCTCTTGCTATGTCTCTCTCTCTGTCTCTCTCTCTCTCTCTCTCTCTCTCTCTCTCTCTCTCTCTCTCTCTCTCTCTCTCTCTCTCTCTCTCTCTCTCTCTCTCTCTCTCTCTCTCTCTCTCCGCCCACTATTATCATTTTTTTGTTTTCCTTTTTTATTGGTCTAAAATTTATGGATCTAGAAAATTGAAATGCGACAGATTGACGGATTGGTGGCTTAATTCGGTTAAGTGGTTTGGTTGTTAGTTTCGCGATGGTTATGTCGTTTGCCAATCCGGTGGTTTAGTTGTTTGTTTAGTCGGTTAAGCACGTGGATAAGCATACAGTTAGATAGAAGGATAAAGACGGGAAAAAAATATTGTTGCAGGGATGAGAGAATAGGTACAAGGGAGAGAAGGCAGTGGAGGGAGAATAGGAGAGACAGGGCGGATAGGAAAATAAAGGAAAGAGAGAACAGAGGAGAAGAGAAGAGAGGAGAGAGAGGAGAGAGGAGAGAAGAGGAGAAGAGAAGAGAAGAGAAAGAGAAGAGAAGAGAAAGAGAAGAGAAAGAGAAAGAGAAGAGAAGAGAAGAGAAGAGAAGAGAAAAGAAGAAAAAAAAAAGGAAAGAGAAGAGAAGATAAGAAAGAGAAGAGAAAAGAAGAGAAGAGAGGAGAAGAAAAGAGAAAGAACAAGAAAAAGAAAAAAAAAAAGACAGACCGAGCCCATATCGGACAGACAAACCCAAACAGCTCATCTATCAATCCCGAAACTGACAGACACACAGACCAAGACAGACAGACGAACAGACCCAGACAGACAGACAGACAGCCTGAGAGCCGGAGACCCAGTGACAGGCAGAGAAAGGGCGAGATCAGTGGCTGTGAATAAGCCTGAGTCCCATTAATCTGAATAACGACACCGGACGCCTTCCCACTGAAACGGAGTACCGAGGGAGAGCTGCTCGACCCGGGGATAACTCGTTCACGCGCTTTCATATGTAAATCGAAGGCCCTGGATATGGTGCCTCGGGGGACGGTGACGGCGGGGCTTAAAGAGGGACGGGTCTTACCACAAGTGTTTTTGTTTTTTGTTTTTGTTTTTTGTTTTTTTTTTTTTTGTTTTGTTTTGTTTTCTTTCTATGTTTCTGTTTCTGTCTGTCTGTTTCTCTGCCTTTCTATGTTTCTGTTTGTGTGTGTCTGTTTCTCTGTCTTTCTATGTTTCTGTTTCTGTGTGTCTGTTTCTCTGTCTCTTTCTCTTTCTCTCTCTCTCTCTCTCTCTTCTCTTTCTCTCTCCTCTCTCTCTCTCTCTCTCTCTCTCTCTCTCCTCTCTCTTCTCTCTCTCTCTCTCTCTCTCTCTCTCTCTCTCCCTCTCTCTCTCTCTCTCTGTTCTCTCTTCTCTCTCTCTCTGTCTCCTTGTTCTTTGTGATTCATGAGGGAGGGGTGTGTGTGGCTATGAAGGCTTAAAGTGATGCTTATGTGGTGATGATGGTGATAGTGATGTCAAAAGGGTTTTGAGTTCTCGAAGGTGGAGAGAGAACGCGGAAAGAAAAGGAAATGATTTTTGATTTCATGAATTGTCTGATACGACTTGACAAGGCTTTTATATACAAAATATTTGGTCTTAGGGTTTTATATTCTGACGAAATCTGTGGCGACCGTTTTTTTTTTCTTTAATCTCATTCTCATAAACCTATTTCCTATATAGTTCGTACAAGTTTTCAATGCACTTCGGGTACTACAGATGGAAAACCACAAAACATTTTCATTTTATCCTACTATTTATTTATTTATTATTTATTTTTTATAATTACCATCCCTTTCAAGTGAGTTCAAATTTTCACCATGCTTTAAACATTACAAGGGGAAATCTGCTGAAAACATTTATGCATTCTAACTTTGAAATATCAAAACCCTTTCTCCCTTCCCCTTCCCCATTTTATACCAACCCTCCCTGTGGCGTTCGCAAAACCAAATGTTCAATACCCGCCTAGAAAAAAAAAAAACATTTATCCACACACACATACAGTACCGAAGGCGGGAACATCGAGAGCGTGCAACATCTGTCATGTTTTCGGCTGCTCCCCTCCCCCCTCCCCCCTCCCCCAATCAACACGTTGCAATACCCCCGAATCTGTCTTCCGAAGCGTCGCTAAGTGAGGTCATCAACTTTGACAGCTCTATATTTGACTGACGAGGATCGCGTGTTCGACAAGGCACCGGCGTGCTGTCGGATGGGCCGTTACAGAAAACGGAGTGAAACAGAAAATGGGAATATATTCTCTTTTTTTGTATTCATAGAAAATGTAAATTTCTGTCTCTCTTTTTTTCTACGTTTTGTATTTCTTTATGTGAGGAGTGGATGGGGGAAATAATGTTAATAGAGTTCTCGAAATATCGTTCCCTCAAGGAATATAATCCATCGAGAATAGAAACCGAATGAAAAATAAACAAAAAAATAAAATATCCTCAAAAACAAGGAAAAAAAAAAAAAGGGAAAATGGTTTGTTGTCTTCATATGTAGAACGCAAAGGTACAAAATTATGTGGAATTGTGTGCAGCTCCACTCAACAATTTACTGTATAAGTTATATATATATTTTTTCTTTTTCTTTAAAAGACGGGAGTGGGAGTAGGTGTAGGATTATTTTCTTGTTTTTTTAAGATTTAATAAATGGACATTTCGAGTACAGATTGCAGTAAAATATTGACTTTGTATCATATTAACCAAAAGC